CTACACGACTTCACACAGAAACAAAAGTATTTACCATGGACTGATTGCCTTTATATGCTTCTAGAGAATATCAGGTACAGGAAATAACAAAAGAATAAGAACTTACTTGTAAGGTTTGATTTCCACAACAAAACGAGGAGTTTCAGACATAGGTGGGTACTGCCAATGCAAGACAGTTTTGAAATTTTTGGATGTTACTACAGCCTGCGTTGGTGAAGGCACTAGAAGAAATAGAACAATTGCACTTTGATAAACAGACCTAGTCAAACATAAGAACAGCCAAATACATTTCTAAATTATTTGGAAAAGGCAACACGCTGGAAATCATGCGAAAAATTAGATGTAAAAATTGAAAATACTTCCCCCCAAATGGACTAGTTTGTCATCAGTACGAGCCCTGCAAGCTGACTTGCTATTCTTTTCTCCTACAGAGACAGCTTTCTTCCTCTCTGCAACCCAGAACCTCAGATAATCCATGTTCATTGAAAGCAAGGCCATCAGATAGCTCTTATCAGGTTCATAAGCTGTGAGTACTATACCCCTATGTTGGTATATACAGATATACCAGCAAGACAGACAGTATGAATTTACTGAAGTTAGAGGAGACTAGCCCAGCTCCTACAGATTAGTCTTCCTCTTCAGAAACTACATTGTGGAGAGGAGGATACCAAACCGCTGAGTCTCCTGACTCAGCCTTGCCAAAAAGACAAACAGTCCTGCTGGGGAAAGCCTGGATTCAACATGAATTTCTGACAATGCCATTTTTACCATTCCAGCAGTATTTTTAGAAAAAGCTGTGATTATAATAACAAACTACTAACATTTGTAAGGAATGTGAACACTGAAACTGTCATGTAGTTCCATAGACAGGAAAGCATTTGCAGTACATTTAGTAAACAACATCAGAGGTAACTTAATAAGCAATACAAAAATAAAAAGCAGCACTGATAGTTTCCTTATACAGGAAGCTTCTCTTCTAAGCACCAACAGCAACAGGGCTATCAGGGGAGAAGCTGCAGGAGAAGGAAAATTACGTGAGCTATGATCTACTACATGAACTACTGAAGGCTGTTGCATGACATTCAGAAGAGGGAAAAAAAAAAAGTCACTCAACCAATTTTGTTACTTTTTAGCTTCCCAATGTCTGGTTTGGCATCCTTAATATTCTTTAATATAGCTTTTGTGAAAAGTTGACAGGTAACTCATATTTGACCTGCCCTAGACTGCTGCTTGTTCACAAAGGAAGTGCTCCCACTTCACTTTGTGATATATTGAGGGAAAGTAAACAATTTTCACATCTTGAGAACAAGACCACAAAGATAACACTCTACAGAAAGTAATACACAGAGGCTGAGATATGCTATTAACCACGAAGATTTGATACATGTAACATACATCACTGCAAATAGTGCTGTGGTTTAGTTACGTTTTAATACGTACAAAAGTGGTATTTCAGTTATTGGAAAAAAGGAACACAATCATCAAACGCTCAACCACAAGAAAAAAAAAGGTGACAAGTTGACAGAAGAGGTGTCAAAGCACACATCTGTAACTTCAAATATTTAGTTTTAAGGCACAGTGTAGCAAGCCTTAAAAAAATTTAACTTTTGTGTACTATTACACAAATAAAACTACACTTAACAAAAGAGTGGAAAATGAAATCCTAGAACATACTTGAACAGCCAGTAGAAGCTACATGGCTTTCAGTTATGCAATTACATACCGCTTTGCTTTCTCCTCCCTCATTCTTCCTCCCATCCCTGTATTTTTGTTTTATTTTGTACACAGACAGAGTTGCTACCCTGGATTACAAGAGAGCAAACTTTTAAGCTACTTGAGGGACCTGCTTAGCAGCATCCCCTGAGAATCTGCTTTTGAGGACTCAGGGGTCCATGAGTGCTGATCACCTTTGAAGAACCACCTTTTAGAAGCACAGGAACAGGCAACTCCATGGTGTTGTGAGTCAAGCAAGCGGAGCAGACCAGCTTGGCCCAACAGGGAACTCCTCGTGATGCTCAGGAGGAAAAACAAATTGTATGATGTCTGGAAGCAAGGTCAGGCTTTGCAGGAAGAATACAGAATCATGGTTCACAGGGAGAAGACACAAAAGGCCAAAGCTGAACTAGAGTTGAAACTGGCCAGTGTTGTTTCAGATAACAAGAGGGGCTTTTAAAGTAACATTAATAGCAAGTGGAGGTCTAAGGAAAACACTGGACCAATACTTGTTGAATATGGTCTCCTGACTAATAGGGATGAAGAAAAAGCAGAGGCATTCAAGGTTTGGGTTTTTTTGACTCAGTCTCTAGTAATACTGATAGACCTTGGGATGCCCGGTCCTCTGAGTCAGCCGACGCCAAGCGCAGAACAGTGACTTTCCACTTGCGGACACTGAAATTGTAAGGGGCCAGCTGTATCAGCTGAATGTTTACAAGTCCATGTGGCCTGATGGGATTCACCCCAGAGCACCGAAGGAGGTGGCGGATGTTACAGTAGGACCCCTCTTGATCATCTACCAAAGGTCTGGAAAGGTCCCTGCTGACGGGAAGCTAGCCAACACTATTCCAACTTACAACAAGGGCGTGAGGGAAGACCTAAGAAATCAGAGACCTGTGAGTCTAACCTCAGTACCTGGAAAAATTATGCAGAAGATCATACTGGGTGCTGTTGAAAGGCATGTAAAGAATACAATCATCAGGTACAGTCAACATGGGTTCACAAAAGGAAAGTTCTCTTTCATTTAATATCCTTCTATGATAAGGTCACCTGCCTAGCAGATGAAGGGAAAGTAGATGTAGTTTTTCTGTATTTTACTAAGGCTTTTGATACTGTCCCTCAGAGCATTCTTCTGGACATGTCCAACTGTGAGATGAGCAGGTACCTGGCGCTCTGGGTGAAAAACTGGCTGAACGGCAGGGCTTGAAGGGTTGTAGTGAATGGGGCTACATCTGGGTGGCAACTGATCACCAGCAGTGTTCCTCAGGGCTCAATTCTAGGGCTTGTTCTGCTCAGAATTTTTACCAATGATCTCGATACAGGAGTTGAACGCACCATTAGCAAATCTGCTGATGATACTAAACTGGGAGGTGCTGTTGACTCTCAAGGTATGAGATGCCTTGTGGAGGGATCTAGATAGACTGGAGCATTGGGTGATGATTAATGGGATGAAGTTGAACAAGTCCAAATGCCAGATTCTGCACCTGGGATGGCGTAATGCTGGGAACAAGTATTAATTGGGAGAGGAGTGGTACAGGAATGTAATACTCTGAAGTACTTGTGAACGCTGAGTGACCAACTAGAACTAAGAAGAATCTATCAAGTCACTCCTCCACAGCTCCATGAAAGACTACTCAACCTAATTCTCCACTTTTCCTTCCAGAGATTATTTTTAATTTGCTCCAGCTCTGAAACTACAAAGGAACTAGCAGAAAACAAGCTTTCCTCATGAAAAGACAACTTCACAAACTATACTATGACATTAACCACCTTATCAGCCACCAGGAACGTCACCACCACGTCAAGATCCCTGATGGCACTACCAGTTGGCCTTGATCACTTACAGGAATGAGTTTACACATACCATCAGCTCATCCTTTTCACCCTGGCTTTTAACAACTTTGCTTTCGGTGATCAAGTTAGTCAAGAACTATCTCCCTCTCTGATCTTTCACTCCATATCCTCAAGACAGACCTAAAGGACACCTATCAGTATGTGCTGAGAAGCTAAAGTCATAACCCTACTTACAAACAAAAACCAACACAGAAATAGGTTGATAGCATACCTCCTCTCACCTCATTAACATCTCCATGTTCCATAGGCCAAGAATTATCATCCCCTCTTTTTCTAAGGGATGACTCCTTCTACCACTTCCCTTATTCTCTACAGGCACCAGCCATCTTGTCTCTCAAGTGGTCTAACGGATATGTAGCAAAGTAATATATAAATTGTTCTGAGTTTGTATTTATTTTTGAGGTTTGCTGGTTCTGCTTGAAAGTCAAAGAAAGTCTGAAAGCTCATCTCCTTTCCCTAATTACAGTGGTTATTTTCATGGAAGGCTATCTCTACCTGCAAACCTTGCATAACCAATTTGAGTGACCAAAGACCTTACTCTTCAGGTCACTGCACTTCAGTCACAACAACCCCATGCA